TATGCTTGATATAGTCTTCTTTTAAACTGTCAAGACCAATTTCTCTCAGCAATCACATCATATGAAAATAAACATGTTATGGCAATTTCAGAAATCTCTACAATACTGCCTTAGGACTTCAAGTTTGTTGAAACAGCCTCAAAATGTACAGGACACATTGGCTTTGCCGTGGGACACCTCTCAGTATTTCTAAGTCTGTCCATATTCATGCTAAGGTTATCCCCTGTATGAACAGAGACCTTTACAATTAACAAAGAATGATCCACTTACACTTCCCTACCTGATTCCCAAGCATGAATACTGACGGTGATGAGGATGTCTGCAAGTTATAGATGGGGAGACTAAAAAGCAAGACAAAGGCTAAGCACTTTGACAGAAATCTGCACATCAGCTATGCCCACCCAGGCCTTCCAACTCAGAATGAAAGACTCTTACATGAAGCTCTCCTGCCTTGTAATGATATTATTATAAATTTTATCATCAGTTTTATAATCACTGTAAACACTAATTATAAATCAATCACTTTTAGAATCTCTCCTACAACAATTTTAATTTGGGCCAAAAGTGCACATAAACTTTTAAACGTTTAGGCTTAGAATATTTATTTTGTTCAGGCCTTAGAATATTTATTTTGTTTTTGTTTTGTACTTTAAGAGTTGAAATGGAATGTGAAAATAGAAACACAATATGAAAAATCCAGGCAGAATCAAGATATGAGTCTTCAGCTTTTCAAGGAGCAAGAGTAGAAGCTAGTATTAGGAGAAAAAAGGTTGTTAAGAAGTTTAATTGTTAAAAGCTAATTTTCTTGAGCTTTCTTAAGCCAGAATGTTCTGACTAAGAATGAAAATGATGGATGGCATTTTTCACTATACGAAAACACCCATGTCCCAGAGTTAAGTGTCTATCCTAATTGCTCCTGCACTCCAAAGAGTCCTTCAGTTTGCTCATCTGTGTTATTTTTACTTGCTAAAGTAGAGGTGTCTGGGTGATAAATTGAACAAGGTGCTCCACTCGGCACCACTAGTATGTTATAATAAATATTGCCACTGAAAGGCAAAGTAAGGAAGCGGTGAACCTTTTCAGGGTGTGATGTAAGTTTTTTTCTCACTTTTTTTTTTTAAGAAAGAAGTAACTGTTAAATTTTAATCTAATTACAAATGGTCAAAGAGGAGAAGATGGCCAAAGTGTTTCAGGGGACTATGAAGCCTCAATCACAAATGTGTGTTCTTTTTGTCCTTCAAAAAATACCTGCGAATAACCCACATAACAAAAGCCTAATTGAAGAGGTAGAAATATCCATTTGATAAAGGAAAGTAATGTGGCAGAGCCCTGGCATCTTAGTGATGAAAAAAGAAATGCATTATAATCAGACCTCAATTTCCATTTTTCTGCAACCTTTGATATTGCTACATTAAAAAAATACTAATACATTTCCCTAGTTCCCAGTAAAGACAAAATGACAGAAGACTGTAATCTGACTTCAATTTGTTATTCTTTTCTGTATCAGGAAGAAAAATGTAGAGAAGACTTTTTAAAGTATAGGGACAGAATTAAGGGTTCCAAGTAGTTATTTCTCCCATCTGGACAGAACTGTAATTTCCTGTAGCTACGGCTAGCAAGCTGGAGTCCCATTGTAAGGGGAGGCTGGTCTCAACTCCTGTCCACTTCATGCTGCTGACCCTGGACAGTCCCCTGCCCCATCTCAATGTTTGCATTAGGTACAAGTTCAGGCTATGGTGTGAGCTCTCAGACCTGAGAAAAAGTTTGTAAAATGGCTTCTGGAAACATTTCCATTTGTCTAAATTAGGCCCATGGCAAGAGTCAGCCACTTGTTCCTCTAGATCATGTGATGGCAGCTGCCATTTTGCTACCAGCAGAACAGAACTGAAAAGAACTCAAGAGTCCCTGATGGACAGTCAGTCTAATCTACCCCAGGACCTACCAGAGCTGGGATTTCTATTACTTGCCACCAAAATCATCACCTGCTTCATTTTCAGGCAGGGCTTATTCGAGGTCAGCTTGTCCCTCTTTCTAGCCCTAAAAATTATCATACTTACAAGTTCTTGTCACACCCAGAAAACATAATCCAATTCTAGAAGTTTCACATCCCTGATTGGGACATTCCTTAATACTTCTGTTAGTTTCCACAGCCTGTAAGGTAGAGTCTAAAGTCTTCTGTGTGGCACATACTTACAATCTGACACTTTTCCTTACCTAGCATCTCTTCTAACCCTCTGCTTTTACTATATCCAACTAGAATTCTCTGAAACTTTAGATCTTTCTACTACAGTTTCCTAAGGCCCACAAACTTCAACAGCCACCTGTGCCATCTACCTATCCATGCCCTCCTGGTTATTCTCTTCATTTTTGTAATCTCACAAATACAGGTATCTCTTCTCTGCCACACCTCCATACTCTCCCTTCCTCAGTCTTGCCCCACTCTCCATGAACAGAAAGAACCAAACATTGCCTCCTAGAGACATTAACATGAATTAATAGGAAAATGGCAAAGGCTTTCTCATCATTTATTCATGTGAAGGGCTCTCCAGTGTGCACAAAGCCTGCTTGAAGGTGGAGAATATGTTCTAAGTCCACATCATAATGACTCACAGAGAAAGCACCTTGTAGTTACAGAGATTCAGAAGATAAGTAATCTGTTTGTATCAGAAAGCAAATTTCCTGACATTCATCAAAAATTTATTATTCCTTTGAAGACACATGCAACAGCTATCTCCCAAGTTAGGAGCTGGGTGTGTTCTTAAGGACTTGCCTTCTGTCCTGAGAATCTACAGATCTGTTATGCTTTCCTTTTTCTGGAAGGACACAATCCCTTTCCTCTCTTCACCCTCACCAACCCCACGCAGAGAAATATATCTCTTCTTTTGAAGACCTGCTCCTCCTTCTACTTCAATCTTGTTCTTCTAACTGGGGACACCAATTAAAACAACCTGCGCTATGGGGATATATGACCTCATCCAGGTCTGTAAGTCTTCATAATTTTTAAAGTTGAAACTGAAGGGGAACATATGTCTTCTGGTTCTCAATAAAGCATCATGGAGAAAGTAGGTTAAAAAGAATATAGTGGTCCCTTGGTATCCATGGGGGATAGATTTCAGAGCCCCCAGAGGACAGCAAACTCTAAGGATGCTATAAATTCCCTCATATAAAATCACAAAGTATTCGCATATAACTTATGAACATGTGCTGTGTACTTTAAATCATCTCTAGAGTACTTACAATACCTGATACAATGTAAATGTTACATAGTTACTGTATTAATTACAGAATAATGATAAAAAATACTTGTAGACATTCAGTGCAGATAGAATAGTCCAAATATTTTAAATCCACCATTGGTTGAATCTATGCATTCAAAACTCATTGACATGAAGGATAAACGATACTAAATTTGAACCAATATGTAGACAGTGAAGAAAGAAGGGACAATGTTTCAGGTCCTGGTTCCAGCTGTCCCATAAGTGGGAGCACCATCTCCACCACTTCACTTAACCTTCAGTTTACTCATGGAAAGTGAGATTCAATCGCTTGCAAAGAAACAAACAACAAAAATCCTAGTGTGCCAAGTAAGGCAACATCTGTTATCCCATTTAAGTCTCCTATCAACTGTGTGCAGTAGGTATTATTTTACAGAGAAGGGATCAGAAGCTCACAAATAGAAGAGAAACATGCCCAAGGCATACAAAAAATGAATGAGAGGTGATTGATGGATCATACATGCCCAAATGCCACCACTGTTCTTCCCGACCTCTCCTACACTGTCCTTCCTTGAGTATCTGAAAGCCAGTGCAAGTGCAGTTCTTAGGAGTTAGCTTGGTATTTAGCCAGTTAAAGAGGGGGCTAAAGGGCGATGGTGGCACTGACATGCAGGACAGCACAAACAGGGTCTTAGGACGGTGTATGTGAGCAAATATTGGGAGGGGAAGGTCAGAGTTGCTTTGAAACAATGAAACAAACTGCCATGCCCTAGAGAGGGGCAGTCGCCTCCACTTATCACAGACCTCCATGCTCTAGGGAGGGGCAGTCACCTCCACCTATCAAAAAACTTTTCAACTCCCACCCTACCTCAAAAGCTGCATAAATATCCAGAGCTCTTGGTCAGATGTGGCTTGAACTATTTTCCTCCATCCCTTGCTACACAAGAGTCTCTGCTTTTTCTCCTGCTTTCCCTTCCTAATAAAACTCTGTTGCTTTGTACCTCATGGAGTCTGAGCTTGACCATAACTCCCCAACCCTTGCACCATTCCTTGGTGCCTAATGTGGGGTTTCAGTCCTGCATCACAGTGATTACACAATATGCAATCAGTGCAAGTCTTCCCCTCATTAGTAAACATAGATGGTATTGATCTTGATGAACTCCTGTGGGTGTCACAGACTTCAATTAAATACACTTGATAAGGTGCTCTGAGAATATAAATAGACATTATTTCAGACTCCACTGTTAAAGGTAACATTTGTTTCTTGCCATGTCAATAATTGGGAAGCAAAAGAATAGTGCTGTTTTTTTTTAAAGCACCTTACTGTTCATAACTATTTGGAAATCAGTAATTTAATTGAACATTAATATGTTTGTTTAGACACCAAAATATAATTGGTATTTTGGAAGTGGGTTTCCACAAGAGACCTAAAAGTAAAAGCAAAAGAGGAACCAATTTGTAGAAAATTGAATCTTTCTGTTTTGTAAACATCATTTTTTATTTTTTTACCAGTTAAGATTTTTAACTGGGTACTTCTTTGGTCTAGGAATTTACTTGTAGAGCTAAACTGACCATGGTCTTCCAAGTCAATTATTAACACAAAATGAGAAGTGCTCAGAACCATGAACTTAGGGGTGAAAAAAAATGCATACAAACCAAAGGAAGATGAATATGTATGTGAAAATAATTTGCCTTAGCAGAAAAATAGGTATCACCTTCAGCATAAGGGTGCATTCAGATTTGTTTTTCATATTAGTACCTTATTTAATATGTCAATGGGCAAAAGGCAATCCATTATAAAAGCAATTTTCCTTTTACCATGGGGTGTTTTATCATTTGATGTCTAGCATTCAATCAGAATGCAGCAATCCTTTAATCTTTTATGAGCAGAAAACAACTCATTTTGGTATGTAGACTTCAGAAATGTGAAAGTTTTTTGTAAGCCTTGAAAAATGTCCATAAATGGCCTTTGCAGAAGAAGGAGAGCAAGAGGTCAAACTAGAAAGTTAAACTTGAAATTATCAAAAGCTTGGGGAGAAAAAAATGCTTTAAAACAGGTAATTAAGCATTTATTTTAAGGTATAATGAATTTCAACTGTCAGGAAAATGTTTGTTTTTTTTTTTAGTCCTAGTTCATCCTTTCACTTTCTGAAGCCCAAGAAGCTTTCTGGAAGGTCCTAGGGGACAGAGGCCATATCTAGTTCAACTATATCTGGTTCAACTGTATCATGGCCCCTGACACACACTTAAGTGTTCAGTAGATTTGTACTGAACAAATGGATAAATGTGTCAGTTATCTCAGATACAGGGAAATTGCCTTGACAATGCTAGTCCTGGCTGTCCAAGCCCAGCTTCAGTGCAGAGACAGGTTGGATGGATGCTAAGTGACTTGTAGCAGAGTAGCAGGGCCATCTCTTCAATGGAAGATGGGAGATAGAGGATGCTTCAGTGTAAGAAAGGATGCATCATTACTAGGGATCCCCCAGGTATTTGCCTTCATCTCACCCTACTATCTCAGCGCATAGGGGTGGGGTTCTGGCCTGCTTCCAAGATTGACTATGGAGTCCTCACAAGGCTGTTCTACACTGCCAGAATTCAGAACCTATCTCCTATTCCACATCAACCCAGCCCCAACCACAAAAAGGACACTCACCTGAAGAGAACTGAAAGCTCAGATTCCTGCCACTTTGGTTCCCCTTTGCCCAACAGATGGGGCTCCCCTGGATAGCATCCAGACAAAATGAGGTCATCATTGACCCTGCTCTGGAATTGGGCCATGTTTTCAAAGTCAGTCCTCACAGGTTGAATTATCTGTCCCCAAGGGGCTCCTCTCATTGCTATCTTTGCAATTTCAGTAACAAAATGAAGACAGCTACTCAAATGATACAAAGTCACTTCTAAATGCTCTACCCAGGGGGATATGTGTGGCTGGGAGAACACAGTGAAGTTGTTGAGTTATTACTCTAAGTGGCAGAGAGAGAAACTAACTCCCTTTTATTGCCAGCACACTTCTATACCATATTATCCATCTGGGTTAACTTTTAGCATGATAGACATATCTCCCCATCCACTGGGCAAAGAACAGGAGAAGAAAGGTGGGTATGGCATGTCACTGCACAGGAGTGTATCTCCTGCTGTCCTCAAGATGGGAGCAAATGGCAAGTGTGCTGTAGGGGAGCGTGGAAAGGTTTGGGAGACGAGAAAGTGGCAATGCATGGCAATCACCTGACACAGAAATCCCAGTGTAGAAGAACATGACTATTTTCCAACTCTAGAAAAACTCAGCTGGGCTTGAAGTGCTTCTTAGCAAGTGACTTTCAACAATTTCCTCCACGAAACTGAGCTAAAAATGAACAGTTATCAGATGGAGAGATTCAGTAGGATTTGTTTGATTTAGAATGTACATACTAAAGCTGAATAAACAGCAAACAATATTACAGACGGAAATCTCTACAAGTCAGTGTAATTAAGAAGTGGGGAAAATATCTCATGCCAAAGATCCCAGTCAATTAAAATCCTAATGTTTGGTTAGCAGGTTAACACAGAAACCCCCCACCCCCGTTAGATTGCCACCATCCTAATGCAAATTTCTGGGGTGGGGGCTTATAAATCATGATCTTTCATGGCAGTTCCATGCTAATGTCACCTTCTTTTCCAACCCATTCTGGCTGATAAGACCTTCCTCTTGGCCAAATGGGCTCAAATTCTTAGTTTTTTTCTTTACTGAGTACTAAATATTCATGTAGTTTTTCTCAGCAGACCTTATACTCAGCTCTACAATGTAAATAAAACACAACTCCCTTTTCAATTTAATCAGTATATTCCTTCCCATTTGTCATTCCAGACCATACTTTAGGCTCTCAAGCAGATGGCTGCACGTTTATGCTCTTCACAATAATTCTAGATACTCCAATGTTTTCCTGATATAAGCAGTCATCCATTGTACTCACCTTATTAAGCTCAAGAGGAAGGATTTACATTGCACCAGCTATATGGATGTCAGAGGGAATGGAAGTCAGCTACTTTAAGGAGAGTCAACATTGACAATGGTGTTAGGGGCAGGTTAAATCTTACCTACCTTTGTAGGTTAAAGCCAAATTATAGCAAGAGCAAAAGGCAAGAAAATTACCTCTTTTTTGGGTGTCCTTTTGTAAATTTTGTAATGTAAGTAAGAAAAAGAGCCCAAAGCCTATAAGACTAATTTTTCATTTTCAGCTACCCATTTTCTTCAATAATTCCTTCTTAGGGCAAGGATTCCTAACAACAGAAACATTGGGAGCAAGAGAATTTCATTAAAGTATTCAATTTTTCTTTATAGAGAAAAATCATTTTGAAAGAAAGAAAAGAAAATGACCTACTGGTAGGTAATAGACTGGAATTTTAAGAAGGAAATTCACAGATCTTTTTTAATCTAACCAGCAGCAAGGCTGTTCTGATATGTATTCATCCCAGTATTTGACACTCAGACACAATACTTGCAAATTTCTTCATTCCTGAAGGCTTTAAGAACAATTCTATCCAGAGTAGACATGTAGAAATACACTGGAAACCAAACCAGAGAATAGCTGATCCACAGTGATCAATTCACAAAGCTGTTGGCACCTTGGGAATACTTTGTGTAAGTGGGAACTCCACTTGGAAGCTGGGTGCCTGACAAGCTTCACACCCATGTTGGGAACAAGTGTACTTACGCAGCTCGCCCACTTTCAGGATCTCACACAGCATCTTTGTTAGTTCTATACTGCTGCGGCCAAAGGGACATTCGTGTTTATCTTCTCGGCTACTGTTCTCAAGCACGATCTACAGTAGAGAAGGGAAGAGGTCAGGAAAGGAATTCAGTGACTGACAGCATCAAGAATGTTGGCTGCAGTCACAGAGAAATAAGGAGATACACTCCAGATCCTCAAACTAAGAATCTTGGGGCCAGGACAAAATAGTATATGCTCAGAGTAAATTGAACTTAACACATTAAGTTTTCCTAATCTACAACTTTCTGACCTGTAAGAAGATATTTTGCTTGTTGGTTTCCATGTATACAGAAGTGCCTGTGGAGAGTGTTTCAAAACAGTACAATAGAGACTGTTTACTTGAGTGACAAAACTTCTCTCTTGTCCTATTAGTCCTGTCTTCTCTTTCTTGGGTACAGCAACTCCTGTGATTTTAAGTCACACATTTCACTTGCATAGATACCCTGGGGAAGTTTCCTTGCTCTTACAATGCCTCGCTGAACCATGCCAAGGGAACATGAAACACAAGAGTCTTTCCCTGAGACGTCTCCTACCAAAGGGGAAAAACTGACCAACAATGTCGATGGTGCCTATAGGGTGTAAGCAAAAGAAAGGAAGGAAGGGAGAGAGGGAGGAAGTAAGGAAGGGAGGGACGGAGGGACAGGGGAAGCAAAAATGCAAAGGAAAAAAAAGATGAGGTAGAGAGCCCCAGGAGCATTTGGGTCCCTGGTTTCACTTGTTCCTATAGCACATCAGCTTCCCTATCTTCATGGTTTGTCCTTTCAGTCCTTCTTCTGAAAATCCTTTTGTTCATTTAAGAAATACTCCTCTTTCTTTGGCTAGTTTGAGATGTTCCTATCACTTAAAACTAAACGAACGATTCCACACATAGAACAAGAACAGGACACAACGGCAAAACTCTAAAATAACTAAACTTAAATACATGTGTCACTAAAAGGAGTAGTATCTAAGGAGGCTATTTATTTCACAAAAGAACCAGTTTATTCATGTCTGAAGCTGTCCCAGATCCCTAGGAAAAGTTGTCTGGTACCTCCTCCACAGCTATACCACTTTGAATGTTTACCTCCCATATGCATCTTCAAAAATGTTATTTAGTGATTTATTCTTGTGTTTCCTCTTTAATATAGTTTGGATATGGTCTGACTGTCCCCCTAGGCTACATGTGTTGAAATTTAGTCTTTACTGTGAGGTATTAAGAGGGTGGAAACTTAATCTGACTGTGGTCAGATAAACCTTTGGGAGGTGTTAGGATTAGGTCAAGTACTTGAGGTGAAGCCCCATGATTGAATCCTGGTGGTTTTAAAAGGAGAGAGAAAGATTTCAGAAGTGTCCATGTGGGTTCTTTGTCTCTTGCCTGTGATATCCTGCACCACCTCAGGACTCTTCCAGCAAGAAGGCCATCACTGGATGTGTTACTACACAGTAAAATAGACATCTTTTCTTTATAACATTACTATAGGTGTTTCATTATGGTAGTACAAAACAGACTATACAGACCTATACTACCAACTCTTAAATTGCAGGGATGGTGTTTTATTCACTTAATCAATAGTATTTATTGAGCACCTGTTATCTGCCAGGAACATGGCTGTGTCTCGTCAAATAAGAAACAGGATAGATTAGGCTCTCACCTCACTAAACATTTATTCTAATTAAAGGAGACTGACAAAGACAAAAAGATAGTTACAATTCATCACAAAGGCTACAAAAAATAATTTGCTGAGTTGAATCACAAGGAAGGCTTGGGGAGAGCTTAGATACTCAGGTGACCAAGGACGATGGCAAATCAAAGGATGAGAAAAACTTGTTATGATGTGAGAAAGAAAACACTCCAGGTGGAGGTATCAAGGTCACTCTCCTTTGAGGTGAGGCCGGTGTGGTTCAGGGAGACCAGCACTGCCTTGTCTACAGTGTGGTAGTGCAGGAAGCTGTTCAGGGTTTAGGATCTGAGAGGGGCCAGGCTGGACCAGAGTGAGCCATAGAAGCTCAACTGGTGTTTGAGGGGGAGACTGAGAGAGAACAAAGAACACAAGGAGGGGCAGGCATTTAGGAAACCAATGAAACAAAGAAAATTTGGAACGAGGGAAGAAAAAAGGGATAAAGGAAAAGTACACACAATCACTGTTTTATTGATGCAGATGTAGTAATAGTTACAAATTGTGGAGGAGGAAGAGCTCAGTATAGGGTCAGTTGTTTCAAACAAAAGGAGTAGGATTTGAATAAAAATGCACTTCAACTGTTTTCTGCACAAACACCATACTAGCAGCATGTGACTACACACACACACACACCCCTGCACATATCAACTGTTTCCTCTTGGGGATTTTCTTTTCAAAACAATATTCTTACCCAGACATATTCATGACATAAGAAGTGGACGAGCTCACCTTCTCCTCCCTTGACACACACAGGCAGTTTCACTGCCTTTAGCATCATCCCAGCAGTTGATGAACTCTCCCATTCTGTGGGATTTTTCAACCATTTGCAACATGTGACTGCATGGATCATTAGGCATCGAACATTATCATGAACACAGCTTTGCTGTTCTTGGGATTTATGAAAAAAATGCTTCCTGGCCATCTACTTAGGTGACACATGTTACGGCTTGCTTGGTTTCTGTCTGAGAAAGCTGACTGGAAATTCCAACTAAATCCCTTTTCCCGCCAAGCAGGGAAGGGCCATTTGTAGAGACCTTGACAGCCTGTTCTCTTTCCAGGGTCTATCATAAAGAATCTTATTACATGTTGGGCCCAAATCACCCTCTTTCTTTTATGGGAACCCTTTCTGGCTGTACCAAAAAAGGGATGGTATTTTCCATTACCATCAGTCAGCAAATCTCATTTCTTTTTTAAAAAATGTGTATCTGAGACAGCCAGATCAAGGAGTAAATCTGAATCTCTTGATCATGGGGAAACAGCTGAAGAAAACAGCAAGACAGAACATAAAGAGAAGACAGGAGACAGGTAGTTTTCAGCCAGCTCCCCACTCCAGGCTCCCAGTGAGCACATTCTGTTGTATTTCACATTAACATTCTATTAACATTTCATGAGCACATCAATATTTAATGAGGATATGATCCGCATACAAGGTAGATAGAATTACTGCAACCAATAAATGTTCGGGAAACATTTTCAAGGCACAGTTTATTAGCTGGCACTAAATTAAGTGGTAATTTAAGTAATCAATATGTAAATCTGCTTGGAGAAGCCCTTCTCTTTACTTTTTAATGTACCATCTATCTTCTCATATTTACCTACCCAAAGAAAAATAAATCCTCCTTTCTGGCCGATTTCTGTAGTCAAGGCAGACACAAATATTTAGAGTTACTTGTTTCATATTAAGGTCAATATTCTTACAGGGATACTTTAGAAAAGAGTATGATTATGAATATTACTAATTAGAAATTACTATAGTGAACGAGCTTTCTTAAACTAGGCAGTAGCTTTTATTTTTTAAACACACGGCTAGATCTATGGGTCTATCCCTGTTAATATTCTTTTATTACATGTTTACCTGAGACAGTTAGGAAAGCTTTATTTGAAAGTATTGATGCATGCTTTCTATCTTTATTTTCTCCTTAGTCTTCAATTTTAAGAGGAAACATACTAGGACAGAAGCCACAATGAAGGAAACACTAAAACTTGCTATTATCACTCATCTTAGGATATACCAAAAGAAGTTGTAACCATCCGCCTGCTTTATAAAATAAGAACGCTGGGTGCCTATGTGATAGGAAGTATATTTTGTAAAATTCATTATCGTTTATAGAATGTTTACATATTCCCTATCAACTGATCCACACATGCCCATAAGATTGATAAGGCAGATACTATTACTATTCTCTCAAAAATGTTGAAACAAAAGGAATAGGTGACTGCTCAGTTCATAGAGTTAGCCTATGTAAGGACTTGAATTTTTAGTCTTAGCTGGGTTTGATGGTTCATGCCTGTAATCCTAGCACTTGGGAAGGTAGGGCAGGAGGATCATCAGTTAGAAGCCAGACTGGGCTCATAGTGACACCCTGTCTCAAAAAAATTTTTTTGAAGTCTTCCATCATCAATTCTTTTACTGTTCCCTTTCAGGTTACAAATTGGCTTTACATTCTTATTGCCACGAAAGTGAGTAGATTCAGCCTGTGCAGGCTTAGGAACTTCTTTCAATTTCTTGTCTCACTGAAGGAGGACTGTAAGTTCCAGCCCCCTATAAACAAACTGTAACGTACTCTTTCATCTCATTTAGCACCTAAGGATGAGTTACCAAGATCCTCAGGGTGAATAACCAAAGTTGCTGTGGAGTGTTCCCATAGGCTTCATTTCCATAAATTTGGACTCCCCTCAGAATACTCAATGCATAATGCTCCCTGTTCTTCTCTAGTTGGGCAGATCAGCAAGCCACTCGGCTTGGGCTTGACCATTAAATGCTGAGTACTCTCCGGTATCTGTCCCTTCTCTGGCTGAAAGTGTTGATCTCTCGGACGTTGTTAAAAGTGATGCACTGATTGTCCCATTTCATACACACTGACACATGGCAGAAACACTACACTATCCCACTTTACAGGTAGGGAGATAGGCAAAGAGATATTGTGTAATTTGACTGAGGTCTCACAGCACAGAAGTCAATAAACCTAGCACAGGAATGTAGGTTGCCTGACCATGCACATACATTTTTAGTTACTGATTCTTACTGAAAAGCAAGGGGCAAAATAGTAATGAAGTTTTGATCAGAAAAGGCCTTAATATGATAACAGAGGAGTGGACAGCAGTGTGGCTCCAGGCAGAAAATAATTTCCTAGACTGACTTCTAACAAAGTCTACTTTCTGATGACATTCATATTTTCCCTCAGTTTTCTCATGTAAAAATGGGGAGAAGAATGTCTACCACAAAGGACTGTAAAGATTAAGTGAAAATAAAAATGAGACTGAAGACTGCCTCCATGGCTCAGTCACCAAAAACACTGGATGATGGAGACATATGATACCCATGTTGCTATAAAACTACATGAACTCTTGTTCTACAATGCTATCATTTGTGTTTCAGAAATATTCTTATCGG